CGGCCATTTTGGATTTAATACACCTAAAAAAGCAAATATTGATTCTGAATTCATACCGTGGTGTTTTTTAACCTTTGTATGATATTTACGTCCTTAAAAGACTATATACTTGAAGTTTTAATTAGAAGCCGTATTTATGGAGGCCATCTTGGATTTGAAGGCCATTTTTAAATTTTCGGATATGCCCATACATCCAAACTTGCTCAGAATTTCATTTTCCACAGACCTGCCAAATTTTATGCTTGTGGTTTTAAGTGCTTGATGAATTCCCCATTCAAATGGATATCTTGAATAAATGGTCTGCTTTTTTACTTTTGGCGGCCATTTTGGATTTAATACACCTGAAGGATTCATACCATGGTGTTTTCTAACCTTTATATGATATTTTAAGTCATTAGAAGACTATGTACTTGAAGTTTTAATTTGAAAAGATATTTTGGTGGCCATTTTGGAATTTTCAGACATGCCCATATATCCAAATTTGCTTAGAATTTTATTGTCCATAAGTGTGCCAAATTTCATGCTTGTAGGTAAAAAATGCACAATTTTTCACCAATTTCCTGGACTATTGCTAAAGACAGTGTTTAGGACATTTCTATTTGCTGTGCCACTGTGTGTTTCACTATATATATGGGAAACACTGGTAGAAATCAGTTATCATGGATTTTAACAGATAAATCTTTGGTATTTGTTAGAATTTATTTTGTTTTCCAGACTGATGTCTTGCCTGTTCCGTCACATGAAGAAGAGTGGTGCTATTTCTTCCAATGCTGCTGCTGTCCTCAATAATCTGGCTTTGGAAGGAAAGTAGGTGTACACATTGTTTCTAATTTATAATTTGTTTTATAAAGGGTATTTCTTTGGTAAATGGGGGCTTTTATTAAGTGGGGCCTTATCATATCTTTGTTATAGATTTTTGAGGATGATCTATTTTCAGTGGATTTCACAAGGACTGAATCAAATCCCCTGTTGCTGTTACTTATTATTATTAAAGAACAATTTAAATTTTATGCATGTTGATGCATTAAAAGTTTGGGATAAAATCTTATAAAGATTTGACTTTGGAAATTATTTAATCATGACACTTAGATTTTGCACTCCATGTATTTTTATCAAATTTTTTGATTTTGAGGTTGTTTAGAAATACAAACTGGAAAAAGTTAGTAAATGGGCAGATTTTTGTCACACAAGAATATTATAATATTATCCATCAAAAATGATTCCTGACCAAGGGTCTTTTTTTGTTTCAGATTCAAAGCTCAGCTGAGGCCAGGTTTTGAAGAAATGGTCCTGCCAACCTTAGAAAAGTTTCTGGTATGTACCATCTTACAGAGGTTTTATGCTGAAAGACTCATACCAAACATAAAATGAACAAAAGGAAAAAAACATTAAATGAGTCAGCTTTTTGTGTCTGTATTTGTATGAGCAAACCATGCAAATAGATTTCTATAATTGCAGTTTTTGTCACTTTTCCCTTTTATGCTGTACTAGGCATAGCTCTATCCAAAATTCATTTCAAGCAACACCCAGCAATTTGTCAATCAACGTATTGCTAAACTGTATCTGTATTTGTAATCTTTTAAAATTCAGAAAAAATCTGCTTAGTTATAATGTTTATTTCAGTTGAAAGGCACCAGTAATCCCGTCATTCTTCCGTCTGTCCTGTCCAGTATGACCAACCTGTGTGGTGATGCCTTCATACGGAACAAGATCTGTGCCAAGGAACAGTGTTGGGAGGGATGTTGCCACATGTTGGTATGTTAACTAGATAATAGATTGACTTTTCTGCAGTCTTTTTTCATCTTCAGTCTGTAACTTCTTTTCAGTCTTTTTTCCTGTTCTTTTTTATCCTCTGTCAGGGTCGAGAACTTAACGGTATTGAAATGTGTACAGTGACATCTGTTGTTATATATGTTGTAGGAGAATATATCCAAACAATGAATTGATATTAAGAAATTTGAACTGTATTTAGCTGCTTAATGTTCCTTACAATTTCCTGTGAGCAGCTTTAAGACAAAATATATTTTCTGCAAGTTACTGGGTATTTTTATTTGTAATTATTTTAGGTATACATACAATTATTAGTATTCTTTTAAAGAAGATAATATAGTTGTTTTCCCCCTGTTATTTCAGAAAGAATACTCAGAAAAGCATGCCAATAAACTCGGAGAAGAAACATTGTTTGCTCTTCTGGGACTGCTACTTAATCTCTTGTACGACAACACTGCCGTTACGAAACACAAGTATGAGCTGGATCTGTGCATCACGTGTCAAGATCTGTACACCAAATGTGAAAAAGAGGCTGTCCAGGAGAGGGCGCTGTCTGTCATAGGAAACATCCTGCCACATTCAACAGAGACTACCCGCGAGATGTGTTCACGGGATATTACACAGTTACTGGTACAGATTATACGGGTAAGTTGGTGGCTAGCAACAGTTGCAGTTATGAATCATTTCTAATGAATAGCTTTTTAATGAAATAAACAAAAGCAGTCTGACATATTTAAGTCTAGAAGTCAACACCAAAATTTGACTTCCTATTTTTTTCAATTCCTGATACTTTTTCTCCTTTTTTCTTTTTTTTCATAGTTCTTAAGGTATCCTCTTTAAGGTGATTAAGAAATTAATTCTAATACTGGATCTAACGTTGAAACAGAGAACACAATGTTTCTACCTTATCACAGGCCCTTTTTCAGGTTAACTGAGTTGTCCCCAATATCAGTCATTTTCCACCTTGTTTGTTTATGATCTTTCAGAGTGAGAAAGCTACCCTTACAAAGCCAGCAGTCCGCTGTATCTCCGCGTGTACCAAGGTCAGCCAGGAGGCTAGAGACAGTATTGTAGAAAATAAAGGTGGGATGATAAAGACAAATAGACATAATTATTGATCTGTAGCACACCACTTTGGCTGTTTTATTTGACCTCAATAATAGTCATTCAAGTTATGGTGTTTAGTGCCATTCTTGCAAGGTCTTTTCGAGTGTGTAGGTTCATGTGCGTTACAGGTTTCCACTTCCCAGGAAAGCATTTTATGAACTCTCTGTGCTGTTATGATTTCAACATAAAGAAGACTTGCAGCACCTCACCTGAAATTTCAGTGACCTGTGTTTAAGGTTGTTGCTCAACATTTAAATAATCAACTACCCTGTGTATCAGGTTGTGTTTCCACATATAAATTACTAGTCACCCTGTGTATCAGCTAGGTTGTGTTTCCACATTTAAATGACCAGTCACGCTGTGTATGAGGTTGTGTTTCTACACGTATATTACTTGTCACCCTGTATTCCAGGTCTGGGTCCTCTAGTAGAGCTTCTAAAGAGTCAGGACGAGATCGTGGTTGGCAACGCGGCCCTGTGCCTGGCACACCTGGCGGAGAACCACAGGGTGTGCCAAAAACTGGTGAAAACCAACATCATTCAGCACCTCCTGGTCATAGTGAGGGACGGCAAGAGGACAGGGGTTCAGGAAAATTGTGCCATTCTCATTGCTAAGCTGACTCAAGGAGATACAAGGTAAGGAACGAAAATTCTGAGTAGTCTTTTGACGTCATGGCACCTTAGATAATGTTATGTTGTTAGTAGAAGAGTAAACAGTTCATGAGAGATTTAGTGGGGAATTTTTTCATACATTTTTTAGTAGATGTAGTAATGCAGATAAGCATAAGGCTGATTATTTTGAGACAATACCCACATGATATAAAAACATGAGGTGTATGGTTTGCTATGTAAAAGGCATTTTTATTTTCATGTGAACTGTTATTTTCCAGACACTTAGAGAGGCTGCGTGAGCTTCATGGAATAGAAATTCTGCATTCTGTCATGAAGTTTGTGAAGACATGATCGACACTTAGTCCAGCCAATAAACCCTCGCCTGTCTGAAGATCTGTCATATCAAAAATCTCCAAACGGGTGTCACTTACCGATTTTTTTGGTGTTGTATAGTACTACAACCACCTGAAGGTTGAAATAATATTTTCCCATTTCAAGGAGTATTAAGTTTGATGTGCCTTGGTTAGAGGAGCTTCACTGAAAGATCTCTCGTTATCACAGGTCACACTACAAAGGTCAAGGTCACAAAGGTCACACCAATGACATTCAACTGTGTGAACATTGGACAAACACTGCTTAAATATTGAAAAACCTGTGTGTGATAAAAGCTTTCTCTGCTGTAATGTAATAGTAGATTCAATTTTTCAGTACTTTTGTAATATTTCAATAAAATGAACATTTTGCAGTAATTTGTGTTCTTTTTATTTTCTTTATGTTCATATGCCAGGTGATGTTTTTAGTGTGTAATTTTCATCTTTTTCTAACGGTGTTCTTTCAAATGGCAGCTGGTATTTGTTTTTGTTGTTCCAATGTTCATTCAGATATCAATAATTATTTTTTTATTCAATCATTAATTCATACACTCAGATCTGCAATCGTATTGATTTGAATTCTGTGAAAAAAATCTTAATTCTCATTATTCTTTTTTCTCTATTGAATTGTATTTTACAATTTTGCCCTCATTTTCTCTTAATTCTCGTGTGATTATTTTTTCTGTTTTTTTTAACTCCTGTTTTTGCTTGAGTTTTCAATTTTATCAGGTCATCTTGCATTGTGTACAACCTGCATTGCTGAAAAAAAAATGGACAACTACTGTAACATCCATTCAGACTGCCACGTGTCACCAGACTGTTAATTACTCTACTGGGTATATTTATGTCTGCTGCGACCAATTGTCTGCAGATTTTGAGTCTAATAAACTTCTTACGATGGTACATTTGGCTATGAGACTGGTAGTGTTGCTGTTTGTTGCAGTTTGTATCGTGCAGTCAGTGCACGGCGCATGCACGGGATGTGAGAATGGGTTAACAGGTAAGCCCTGTAGAAGCACACAATATTGTGAACATCATGTGATTTTAATTTTAGAATATTGGTCTCACATGGAAGTCTAATTTGATCATAAAATAATAGTAGAAATAATAGGAATTGCACCATTAAAAATGTGCTAGTCATCTTTACCAACCCAATTATGATAAAAATTTGAGGACTTATTTCTCTGCAGTGGAAAGTCAATTCAATTGGCAAGCCTACTGTTTTGAAATTCAGTTTTAAAAAAATTGAAATTGTATTCTTTCAGCATATTTGCAACATTTGATTTTCTTTATATACACATGTGACATAAAATTCAGGTTTTCTAAAAGGAAAATGAGAATTTAACCAAACGAAACAAACATTGAGGCTTGCTGTTCTTTCAAATTTTATAAACTGTCAACTTTTGTCTGTAAAATGTCTATCCCTCTCTGTATGTGCAGTAAGTGGTAGTTCCAGCAGTGACTGTAACAATGTCCTCAGTCCGTGTCATAACATAGGAGACAAGTGCTCTAGTCGGGGCTATTCCTGTGTGTAAGTATTCACTTCTACTTAGATGTATTCAATGTTTTTTTTTTTCCCTAAATGAAATTTTCAGTAAGAATCAGACGTGGTATATATTTCAAGTCCTCTGGAGTCGCAAGGATTTTGTAAAAATACAATACATAGTAATGAATCACATGTAAACATAGATGAATAGGTTCAAAATTTGGAGGACCTGCAGATTTCTTGTAGTGCAGGTCCTTCAGACTCTCAGCGTCTCCAAAGTTTTCCCCATGTCTGAGTAATTACGTCACTCCATTTGTTTTTCAAAGATTAAAAGTGGCATGTCCTTTAAAGCTGTTGAGGCTTCTTTACTCATGACAGCCAGTAACATTATTCCCAGATCTTGGATTTCTGTGAAGACTTTGATGTAAGTCATGAAAACTGTCCAAAAGAATTTCAATATATTCTAAGGCAGTTTCTACTTTGATAAGTTTCCTCGCCTTCACATTTCAGGGTAGGGTGTGACTGCCAGGCTCTTTGCATCTACAGAAATTATGCTTCCATGAAATCTTCTGGTTCAGCCCTTGCCTGCTTCTTTCCTTAGATAGTATGGTTTGCCAACTTCACTCAGCCCTCAGAAGTTTGAAAAAGGAATCCCGGCATTGCATGATTTGACACAAAATAATCAGTAACCAATAATAAAATAATCATTTATTTAATTGGCTTTTAATTTAAAATGATAGTTAGGATCTAAAGGCTAATAACTTGATAAGCATTTCAAATCAGATCCTTCTTCTTCTGCTTATCAGAATTTTGTGACATGAAATGTAATGAGACAGAAATAAAAATACAAATGTATTATTTGCTCTCTCTCTCTCTCTCCCCCTTTATTTGTATTATTAGTTATCTGTTGGGTACACAACTTTGGGAGATGAAAAAAAGAATATTTTACAGGGTTGATGTTTAGGGCTTACATGCCTATGTATTTTCCTCTTAATAATTTGATATTTTTTTGACAAACATCCAAATTTCCGTATAAATCCAGAAGAGGGTCATCTCTGTGTATTAGTGCAACATAGTTAAACAAGGCACTCGCTGAACAAATTCACTCATCATCTCATTTATTAGTTATAAATGACTTATGAATTGGTCTAATCTTCAATATTTCCTTACATCTTGAACTAATCTTTTTAAAAGGATGAATGTCAGAACTGCTTTCACATGATACACAGGTAATTTATGATAATCATAATTCAGTCAAATTTGGCCTAATCAATAACAAGGAATGCTTCTGTAACAAAAATAGTTCTTAAATCTTAGCCAGTTTGTTTATAGTCTGAAAAAACACAAACACCACAGAAAAAATTAAAAGCCATCAGTGATACATGTATTATTAAAAGAAGGCGAAAGCTCAACGAGATTCTTAAAAAGCTATCTATAATGTCTAAATTAGAGTCTAGCCTTGGTCAATGAAATATTCAATATTCTAAAAGTTTGAAAGACTTGCTAACAAATGCAAATAGTAGGTAAATAATGGGGTATATCACTGCCGCTGTCCACCTACAAAAATGGTATATTCAGTTGATCTGATTCATTATATATTTCAAAAATATGTAAATACACATTAAGGATTCCTCAACTTTTCTTATATATAAATCTTAGGTTTAGTTACAGCAAAAAGAGCAGATAGTACATGAGTCTTAGGGCATATTCCCATAGATTTTAGATCGATCTATCCCGTGGGGAGTCTCACTAGATTACTTTCAGATAATCTGACTTAAATGTCCGTCCCGCCTACTACAAGCTGTAAGGGGGTAATTAACTTTCCTGCCCGCTCGGCTGACAGCTATTTAGCGTGAACCCCCAGGGAGTTAGGTCGATCTAGTTGGCTTGATCTAATCTCTGGGAATGGGGTCTAACATGGTTGAATAAATAATCTTTCACTTGCAGTAAAAATCTTTTTAAACTATTACTACTGCTGAAAATACTGTCAGTCAAATATTTGTATAATATAACATCAATATGCAGTTCAAATTGGTACGATCAATAGGACAAATTCTGCTTTGCACAAAAATGGCATGATCTATAATAATATCATTGCATACAGGTGGTGCTGAATAAAAATAAAATTTCCCATTCAATAAATAGTTCAGAATCAAATGACAATCACATTTTCTTCCTTCCGTAAAATACGTCCTAAATTTGAAAAGAAACAAAAATACAATTGCACATATAACATTTACTTTATCAATCATTTCATTTACATAATACTTAAGGAATAAAATGTTTTTGAGCTAAAGCTATCTCAGTCACACTTATTCAAAGTCAATTTTAAAGAATAAAGGCACCTTGGCAGTTAACATCGGAGTAATTATCTAATTTAAAAGACAATAAAATGATTACTTATTTGTAATCTAAATACATATAACATAATTTGAACATTTTGTCTCAATTAGCAACAAATAAGTCTGGAAAGACACTGTTCAGAATTTTTCAAAAAGACACAATAAGCACATTCTTAGCCATCAGGTTAAATATGAAAAACAAATTATATAGTGAATGAATATACTTCATATACCATACTATATATATTTAAAAAGCAAATGCTTATCAGACTTATATAATCTTAACAATTTTTAACAAAATACAGGTGCATAGCTTTAAAACTTGTAAATCTGGTTTGAGCTGAAACCAGTGGCTGGGCACAAACCGCCAGTGCAGTGCCAATGAAGAAGAGAAAATATTACAATTCAGCTTTTCCACACAATTAGTTTCTTTGCTCTTTAACCAATACAAAGAAATTAAATCTAATAAATCCTAATATCCTACAAACATTTATGGACATTCTAATTTCCTACAAATATTTTTGGAAATATTTATTTCATACATATATTTATGGAAGTTACTAACTACTAATAATATTCATGGAAATCCTTATTTCCTGGGAATATTTTGGAAAGAAAAAGAAGGAATGATTCATAAATATAAAATACTGGTCCGCAGACTAATGTTTTTTAATAACAAGCTGTTCACTGGTGAATGAAGAATGTATCAGAATGTTGAGATAAAGATGGAATTTTCATCCGATCTCATACTGAAGCTTAAGTTTAAATCTGTGGTCACTCTGTTTCAGTCTTACCACTATAAGGCCTTGTTACCGTGCTGCAAACTGCAATAAGCTCCAGTACAGCATTTAATTAAAAATTCCATCTTCAGCTTGGTTTAAAACAACAGGATGAATCAAAACTTTCACTATGGTAACAGAATGATGTTCTTAAGCAGGTGATCGTGGATGAATGGCCGCAGCTTCAGGAGGATCTCACGTGTACCTTGGTTCCTGAGGCAGAAGTTACCTGAAGGAATAATTGCAACAAAAAGGTCAGAGCCACAGGGAAAGAGAAAAATATTCTCACAGCAAATATGGAACTCGGCCTTAAAGACATAAGGATAGTTTGTAATTACTCTTAGAAAAAATTACCTAACAGCAACTAACAGCTGCTTGTTTTCCAAAAAACAAGGCAGCAAAGCTGTCAAATGTACAGACAAAAAGCAGGAAATAACAAAAAAGGCTACTGTCAATTCTGATGCAAAAGTACATTTTGTTAAACTGCAAATTCAACATCAAATTTTAATTATGCTCAACAGGTAAAATACATCTGTGTCTGTATATAAAAATGGCATTTCTTTAAAATAATGGCCCTATTATGCTGATTTTTGAACNGTGTCTGTACATAAAAAGTCAATAATTATATCAAAATTATATTATAGTTTTACAGCAAAGTAATGCTATCTATGGACATGCAGAGTCAAGACTCAGCCTCAGTGTCTGTTTTTATGAATTAACTATTACACATATGCAGAGCACATTTTCTTTACTTAATTGTGAAGAAAAACATTCTTAATTAATGTTTCTATCTAAACTAGGAAAGAACCAATGAACAATAAGCACTGAGAGTCAGTCATTACAGTGCTCTAGCACACACACATAAAACTATTAAATTCCTACTCAGAGTTTCCCAATTTTGTCATTTTGTCAAAGCTGGCACATTCTCCACTTAACCCACCTTATCCATAACTCCCTTCAAGTCACTGAGGTCTGAGGCAAAGATTGTGACATGTGCAGGTTTGAACATCTCCTCTACGGCTCCCTTGTGTGTGGACACCTTGGCTCTACTCATGGGCTTCACCTTGTCTCCCATCCTGAGAAATAAGGAAATGTACTGACTTTAACTCCTCAGGCCTGTGTGTGTGTGTGTGTGTGTGTGTGTGTGTGTGTGAGAGAGAGAGAGAGAGAGAGAGAGAGAGAGAGAGAGAGAGACAGAAAGGGAGGGAGGGAGAGATCTTGCAAGTGAAAGTAGTCATTTCCAGTAATCATTTTCAGATTTTTCTTTTCAATTAAAATATTTTTCAAATGCATCTTAAATCATTAAATTTTTCATATGAATGGGAGAAGTATGAAAGTCTAATTAAATTTACAGCGATATATGTATTTCTTTTTTGACACAAATCCACACAGACCCTATAATGAATAAGCTCACCATAATATGTAGACAAATTTCACAGTGGTGATATCGTCCACCACATCAGTGACTCTAAGCAGGGCGTACATGGCAAGAGAATTATCAAAGCCCGCTTTCAGTTCTTCCAGCCCACCTGTGCCAGAGCCTAGTACCACTATCTGCTGCTTGGGGTCGCCACGTTCATAGCCAGCCAACATCCAGTTAGTGGCTGTGCCATCATCTCTGTGTTGCAAAATAAAATGGACAAAAAGACATGAGCTATGAAGCTAAAGATGCAGACCATGGTATAATTGATAACTATAATGTGTTTTATATCATGTTGAAAAATTTTCTTTTTCTTTTTTTTTATTTTTTTTTTTTTTGTCTGTTTGGTGATGTGATTCACTTTTAATGGTAAGTAATTCAGAAAAAATTGCAGTAATCAATGCCTTAAAATTGCTTACTTCCACTTTTGTAAAATTTAATTCTCAAAGTTTAACAACGAGAGGGTTCATATAAAATGGACTTGATAGTAGTTCACTATGTCTTGAATCCCCTTACCGAACATCAGCAACAGCATCTGGCACCTCTGGGGCAAACTGCACAGGAGCGCCCTCTTTACTCACTGCATTGACTTTAGTTGAAGACATGGACTTGTGACCTGTTGAACTGGTTTTATTACTGCAAAAGAAGTGCAAATGTTAATTTTTTTAAATATCAGTATCTCTCATCACGTATGATTCTACGTCAACCAAGCAAGAATTCTTACATTATCAATACTTGCGTACCTGGTAGAACCAGAGATAATATTTTTAAATTAATAAATTTGATACAAACTCTCAGTCTTTCAGCAATTATTTCTTCCACAGTTAGCTAGATATGTTCCCTTTCTTACTTCCATAATCCAAATTCAGCTACACTATTACCTTAAAATCTGACTGGATGTAAACCCCCTCTCTTGTCTGCCCTCAGTGGATTCTAATACTTTAGATTTGGTCCCAGAGTTTTCTTCAAGCTTTATGAACAGAAACATCACATTATTCACAATAAGAAATATTCATTGAGAAGACATCACTTTTGGAACAGCCATCCTGAATAATTTATTTATTGATAGCAAAAGTGTCCAGGTATCTTTCCATTTCAAACTAGAGACTATATTATTAGGGTATACCATGTACCCCATGTATAATATGAGGTATTGTGTTATACACCATTAACATTCTTGTCCATCATAAGGAAAATATTAAAACTAATTCAGCTAAATTTGTAAAAAACAATTAAATGATTTTTCAACTGATTACAAAACAACACATAATATAATGTGGTTTGTGTAAATGTACAGAAGATGTCACTCATTGACAAGACAAGCCAGTGTGGCACCTACCTTCTGCATGATGGCCTCCTGTGTTAGGTCTTCTACAGAATCGGTTTCAAGCTCCAAGTGGAAGGCCCCCAGACGGCTGCGAACACTTTCATGCACTACGCCACATTTCCCTCGCGTTGCATAAGGGACTTTGTTTCCCACCCTGAAATGATTACATTTCACTCATGGATTATTCAGGAGAAGATAGACTCTTTTTTCAATATCAATTAAAATTAATATACAGAATCTGAAAGTAAAATTGAGTTGAATAAAAGTACATGCACATTGAAATGGCTGTACAGAAATTAAAACATTCAAATGCCTTTAAAAACAACTTGCATAAAATAAACTGACTGAACATTTTAAATATTCATTTGTTCATATCTGATGAAAAAATCTTGAGGAAAAAAGCAGAGGTCCTTACCAGTGTGCATACACAAACTTAACAGTGGTGGACATGTCAAAGGTACTGGTCAGTCTGACCACCACATACATAGTCTGCTTAGGGTCCAGAACATCTGCCACCTCAGAGAGGCTTGTCCCTAGAAATACAATATAAAACAATTACACTACATGAATAAATAAATAAATAAATAAATAAATAAATAAATAAATAAATAAATAAATAAATAAATAAATTGTAAAAAATAAAATAAGTAGGTACAGATGGCTAACCTGTCACATGATCTGTCATGTGACCACACCACTGTTTAAGATGTGATCCTGATCACATCATTGAATCCTTGTATTATTAGATTCATTTTCTTTTTACTCTTAATGATATCAAACTACTGGATGTATTGAAAGGTTCACTCTCTTAAATAAATAGCAAAATGTATAAGGTAAATACAGATGTGGAATACCTGATATCAGATTGTTTATTTTGTAGGATTTTCTATTTATACGTACCCACATGTACGACATCAACGAGGTTAGGGTTGCCGTTGACGTGACCCAGAACTACCAGGTTGACCTCTGTGTCATCTGACCTTAGATCAGCCAATGCTTCTGCAAGTCCTTGCTCATCTGCTACGTCTGCGGTGGTACTCATTCTGCGGCAAGAGATTGAAACACTGGAAAAAAATCAGTAAAGCTGTCAAATATGCAGGCAAAAAGCAGAAAATGATGGTGCACAAATTCACTACTACATAATGAAACACTGAAAATAATAATAACACAAAAAAACTGAATAAGACATGTGCACAAATGATTTTAAATGTATAAAACATCAAATGTTGTGAAGATTCAAATATGCATACAGTAACTATATAACCTATCCCTGACAGACCTCTATCTTGTTGATCTAGAATTTCCATATGCATGTACTTGCACCAGTTAAAGGTGAGCATGCTTTACATACATAAACTAGTATGCCTTGCTAATAAATAGGTGTACAGCATTTTGCTATCAGCTTAATAACATTGACATTTACTTAATTGGATCTAAGATTAATATACATAATTGCAAACACATTAAAGCTTCATTTACAACGAAGTGGTTTCATCCCTCAATTGTCGGTCTCAGAATTGTCATCTGTATAATGTCCAATGATCATGTGATGAGGCAATTGAAGGTACATAGGCATTATTGTGTCAAAGATGTCCATGTTGTGTGTCGTCTCCACCTCCTTTCATGTTTAAGTGATCTTAATATACAGAGATTCAACCTACAATATGCCAGTGAATTATCAAATACATAGGAATATTCCTGGTATTTTATTGTTTTTATCAAAAAGACTGGACTCTGTGGTCCCTATATTAATAGGGACCACATGAGACTCAGCAAATTTTGTTTTTATAATTATTTGTATTTAATAGTATTATGTTTTAGTATACCACATTACAAAATTAATCTACTATGGACCTGAGGTCTTATTTGAATACTGCAACCATAAATATTACAAGACATCTTTATGATATATGACAACTGGTGCTAATTATGATGGTCAGTTCATCAACTGATAAAGTTTTTATCATATCAATCTACTAAGTGCTCAAAATGACAGCAAGTACCAGCCCCGTGTGGTGGTGGTGGGGGTGGGGGGTGGGGGGGGTTAGGTGGGAGGCTGTGGAGGTTCAAAAGAATTACCATTTTGCCTGGGAAAAGATCCAACCTAAATCAAAAAATTTTTCTAGGTTCTGTGTCATTTTTTCTTTTTTCTTTTTTTTTTTTACATTTGCTCAGTTCTAGAGGTAGAAAAATAGAAACTAACAAAAAAGAAAAAGAACTCCTCTAAGATACTGCTGGGTATTGGACTGAATTCTCAAGGCTTTAAAACAAATTAAAGCCATAGAGAGATGACACTAGTCACACAATATATATGAAGGGTACAGAAGTTCACAGTATACTTACCACAATGAAATATTGAATGGATGTGCAGGCACATTAATTAAAATTTATCACCGCGGCTTATACCATACATTACCAAAGCTAATTACATGTCGCCAAGTATAAAGGGTGTTTCTTAACCAAGTTCTTAAAGTGGATGACACTTAGACAGATTAGAGACTTGATGACAATATAGCATGCAGGACAAACGATCAGCATGCAGCCAAAGTGCTGTAAAGGGTTGGACAATAAAATTTTAAGTCTATATTATGGACCATATCATTTGCAAACAAAAATAAATCTTGAACACTGGTCATGTTCTCTTGCAATTAATATTCAGTATCATATAAGTTAATAATGTGTAAAACTGACATGCTCGTGCAGTTTGTGGGAATGTGAAAACTGACTGGGGATGCTTGACCTCCCCTTCTCAGCTTACAGGCTGTGTGCAAACTGCCCTGAGCTTTCTTTGTACAAATATGTGGACTCAACATGGCATGATGTTTGTTTGTTGTTGACCAACAATAACCCAGTGGCATACACATCATTTACTTTGTCATGTTAGCTTACGGTCAGTGAGTGAACTGTTACATAACCCCAAGACACTAGCTTCTGGCTAACAAAACCACTCAGTCAGAATTTAGCCCAAACACAGACAGCGTAAATTATTATTATGACTCCTGCATAATTTACTTTATCTTGGGTGCTGTTCAGAATGACAAATGTCTCAAATAACTAGTGTGCACCAACTTTATGGGTCTTCTCAATTAAGACGTTCACATTAACAGACTAACACACATCTTCTCGGCACTGAGTAGAATACAAAAACGCTGGTTATCATACGGTTACGTTCGAGACAAAAGGAGGTGTGTTAATGTGTCATTCTAATTGCATTCAGCAAGAGTCCATGTGGAGTTAGTGTGCACTAAATGCAGTTATTGTGACCTACACTTATTCATTCTAGAAGGCCCCTCAAGTTGTGTATCAGGGGCAGATTGAGGCCGTCTTCTTGGTCTTCCAGAAGACGGTCAGATTTTCAAGTTTACAATGAAAGGCATCTAATTTTTTCTGACGGAAGATGGTCAAAAATGGAGGATGGACCAACAACTCATATCTCTGGAACCGCCCCTGTGCATGAATTAGTACTTATTACACAGACAAAAACGTTTTTGTTTGACTGTAAGTAACAACACAGATTTGTCACACACAGTAAAAGACTTTTAGTGCAATGCAGTACAAAACTGAGGTTGCACCCATATGCTCATTTTAATATATTTATATAATATATTTATACATGTATAAAAAATCCTGTCAGATACATGTGCACGTCCTAGTATCATACTGGGTAGATGAATCACTGTCTCATAGTCACACTATTCAACCATGTTGTGAACAATAATTGGGAATAAGAAAAAATAGGTCAAGAATGTAAAGTATGCCAACAATGCAACTGGAGTGGCTACTGTATTTGCAGTGAGTACGAAAAAAATCTTTTCGATCCACGCCCACTTTCTACTAAGAATAACACGGAATTCTCTCCTCGAAAAAACATAAGCGCTTGGAATAATACCTGTAACTTATTTTCGAGAACCAATATCTGCTGCATATTTACGACAGAAAATGCCCCAAACAATACTGATATTGTGTCACTGAGTATGGACATGTGTAGTGTTTCACTTGCCTTGATCCTCAGTGCCGGACGTACTAGTACCGTATCTGAACCTGTACGTATCAATTTTTACACGGTAACTGTTCATTTCTCTCCAGATTATACCATAAATCTATAGGCGACATATCCACTTACCTTAGGAATTCCGATCAGCACTCAGTCTGCGATTCAGTGCGGTAATATGTGTCACTTCAATGACTCATGAATCAAGTACACTGTAGATTCACCAACTTCCGTATGTTTCCTCACTGCCGGCTTGTGCTGACATCTGTCGAGAAAAAAAGAGAGTGTCAATATATTTTTATATTTTAACAACAATGCCTTATTTAAAACCAATTACTTTGTAACTTTTATTTTGATTTAAACTGTGTAAATTCTAACTTTACATTTGAATCACGATTAGCTAGCTGTATTTTAGCGAGCAGATTTGGGGATTGTCTTGTGGGTGACACGACCTTGAACTCTACCTGCCGGTATGTGCCGCTGATTAGTGCGGAGTCGTGAGGAAGGTAAATATTTGTTGCTTTGGTTTTAGAAGCTAATCTCATTTTAATACTTTTTATCAACAGCAACTTAGAGAATTTGTTATTGAGACTGCTGTAATTCCGTGAGTTTCAGTATTTATTTTTGCAGCGACAAAATATCGCCATATCTTTTGTGAAAATTAAAACCACTCCCCGGTAAATGAGAAGCAAACGCGCCATGCCATTCCCTCCCTCAGAGTAAGAGTCTAAATGATTCATGGCGATTACTTTACTTCTCCACCCCTTTTCCATTCTCATTGTATATCGTGTGGTTATTTCAGAGAAGATTTTATGTTAAGTGAGTAACTTTTCATTTATTTTTATGTTCAAATTAAAAATAAGACCGTCTCTTCTGGTTGTAAAACTTTTTCAGCTTCCATCTGTCAGATTTGATTTAACACTGACCGTGATTTATTATACTTAGGGCGAGTTCTAAAAATGGACTCTGAAAGTTTTTTCTAAAAATGAGGATTTATTTTGGTCAGAAATATGAATAACCATGACATCTCACTCATATTTTTGTGTATGTTCATGTGTCATGCTAGAATATGAAGGGCACTGAATCATGAACATCCTTTCCCTCTATTGAAGTCTTAGCTTTCACTGTTTTTAAGCAGCACATGAGAGTTTGTGAAAATTTAAATGATTTAAAAAGACCAGTGTGTGTGCTAGAATTTGGCAGATTTATTAGTGTCTTTGACCTCCGATAACAAATTACCTAGAGCTGCTTAAGAATGAATTAATTATTGATTTATCAATGAGGCTTCATGAGTTGGTGACCTGTACCCCTGTTTAATCAATTAGCAGTAGCAGGTTATATGGTGTACACTTTTCATTTCAGGAAATATTTATCATGTTTTATTTTGTATTGATATATTAAAGAGAAACTTACCTACAAATAATCAGTTTCTCTTTTTGATTATATTGATGATTAGTATTTGTATGGATTTGTATATGTATCGGCTGTATGCCTCCAGATAAACATGTTATGTTCACCTGTTTGGTAAAATTTTATGTCTGTGTACATCTACAACCAGACGACCCTCAGTTACTGTTCATTTAGAAGTACTGTGAAGTGTTTTTATGTCTACAAAGGCTGTCAGCCAAATGGTGCCGCCTGCTCAATATAAATAAAAACAACTCATATCTTTTTACAGAGGCATGGTGTAAAGCTTCTGTGTAGATAACAGCTGATTTCCATTCATTCAGATAAGAGAAATCTATATGAAGTTAACCTTGTCACGTTTAACTTGAACCCAGTTAATTGTACCACCAGCGTTAGCGCTGGCGGTACACATGGTTTCAGTCTCGTCCGGATCGTTCCGCCGGCTCCGCCGGCTCCGCCGGCTCCGCCGGACGGCTACCGTTACCGCTTCTCCTCCTAGACGGTAANCAATGAACTTAACTTTGATTGCACCATTTTTAGTTATATATATTTTTTGCATATTTTGAAAATTCTTGTTGATTGCATTTTTACAGCTTGTCAAGCACAAGACTGGTGGCTGCACCCCTTATTTTGTGTATGTGGGGGTCTATACGAATGCGCTTGCTCCAGCTGGTGGTACAATATTCGGAGGCGGTATCGCCTCTCTGATCCTCTAGTTTTATTTGCCAGTCACACTGATATTACCATAAAGAGGTGATAGGACCCCAATAATTGTGTAAAGATCAAGGTGGATAAGCACTTTTTTATCACAGAGGGCCTGATTCTTTTGATAATGAATACTAATGATATGATATCAAATCTTCCCTGAACTGGCAACATAAAGTACCTTTTTTTATCGAGTAGCCACTGCAGAATTTTGTCACCTTTTTTTTTAACCGAACACAAAGCGGTTATCAATAAAAGATAAAAATAGGAAAAACAAATGTTGCCGGGAGCAAAGTCTGTCTATTCTATGTTTTAAAATTGGTCCCCACTGACTTCAGAACAACACAGAAAGATAAATGATGTCTGTGGAGATGATCTTGTTGAGAGTATGCTGAGAGGCAAGTCATTTCTGGCCCTGTCATCCCATAAATGTCATTATCAACCCACCAGAGACATAAGTACAATCCCATTATGTTTTGTATAGATCTGTGTGTCTCTAGAGAGCTGGGGTAGGGGGGATGGAGACCATGTGTAGATCTAGCAGTAAGCTAGTGAGTCAAGGTGGTAATTTAGTCCAAGACTATTTTATATTATTGTACTTTTTGTGATAAGTGCTGCATCTTGTAAGTGTTTGGGTTAATTGTCGGTATATTTGAAAACAGAAGAGCCCATAGATGTAAATTATTATTGTTATTATTATTATTATTATTATTGTTATTATTCACTGATGGCTCTCTCTATGCTGACTGAATACAGACCATCATTGTCAAGAACTACACTTAGTAAATACCAGAATGAAGGTTGAAAATGAGAATTATTTATTGTGAACCATCATATTATTGTGTGCTATATTTTAGTCATTGTTTGCCAGCAAGTCTGACTTGATCCAGATTATGTGTCTGCGTTAGACTGTCTTACTATATCAACCAGAAGGAATTACATAACCCAAGGTGATACATATTATGAAAAATGTATGAGTTGCTTGTGTTCATTCAGAGAATCCGGGTTTGTGGTTTTAATACGTAGATCAGTTATTTCTGAGGTGGTCAATTACAAGGCAGTCGTTTTAAGAATGAGTTAGATGTTTGGGAATTTTCCAATTTGTTTTAATTTTTTATGTGCTCAAATTTTGCAGTTATGATCACTGCTTACTTCAGCTGCCAATAATTATTATGATGACAACATTGTATTATTTTTCATTAATCAAATATTTCTTATCATCAAGCCAAAAAAGGCTGATACAGGAGTACCATAAATTTGATAAATGTATTAAATCAGAAATGTGCCATACCAGGTATTTTTATAGCCATTAAGACAATGAAGCAATATTGCAACCTGAATTTAGACGTAATAAATCACTGTGCTCAACATATTGGTATCTTTATTGTTCTAATACTTCCTTCTGCCCGTAGACTACTTTCATAAACTTGAACTTTACATCAAGGTATTAGGACTGTCTCCTGCCCCCTCTAGTTACCAGGTAGCAGGAACAATATTGTTATTGATTTAGCAATTCTTGGTCTAGTTACTATTCACACGGTGTATTGTTTGAGAGAATAAAGACCACTGCCCTATACAGGTAGACATAAACAAATTGGGTCAAGACTTAATACTGACCTGTGTATTTGTAACCAGGGTCCGGGGAAGGAAAGTTTACACTCAGAAATTAGTTGGAGTATTTAAAGGAATAAATCCTTTTTATGGATATATATATTGAATAGTGGATGTGTGGAAATAGGGGCAGTTTGTATTTGTCACATATTTAAGAATGGATTTCAGCTTTTTTTTTTTTTTTTTTTTCAATTTAATCAGTTTCAAGATCTGCTGGCCCTAGAATTGTGAAGTTGGAATGTTTACTGATCTTTCATGTATTTTAATTTCCCCATTGGAACAGTAGCTGTACAGAAGCTGGGTACCCCTTGCTCTGCAAAACGACATTTCCAACAAGTCTGTGTCTTATTTCACACAGGTATTTGGCCCTATTCAGAATAGGAGACTAACTTGTCTGAGGGTTAAATATGGCAGACCCACTTGAATACTTCCCCACAGGATATCTATTCAGTGTCTATTAGCAGATTAGATGGCAAGCTTTGCAGTGAGTCGCCATTTTTGACCCTCGGACTAATTAGTCCCCTATTCTGAATGGGGCCCTTGTTTTGTTTGCTTGCTGACATGCCAACATATATATGCATACATCCACACTGTATCACACTTGTAGACAAAATATGACTAGCCCTAAGGGACAGTAAGACTCCACTTGTCTTGTCCAAGCTGGGAAATTACTAGCCTGTAACTGTGAGATAGTTCCCACCCAGCGTCATGTGCAGAAACCTTAGGTGGACATTTTATCTAAGGCACGGCCCAGGTTTGTAGGAATTGCAGCTCTTCATTCTCTGTGTAAATGTGCTTTTCATTGGGTGCGTGGTCAGTTACTCCCGGTGACAAGGTTCCCGCCTCTTACTGCACGCTTACGACGTCATGGTGCCAATATTACAGCAGAGAGAAAACAAGGTAGTCTCGTAACTGTTATTGACTTATAAATTCTTGTCTTGTTACACAACCAAGCCACTATAAGTCGTAGTTTTTACTATGTGTGATAAGTGCAGCAGTAAGTTTAGTGACAATACTGCACATAATAATAATTATTAACTTTGCTGGCTTCGTGAAGCCTGTTCATGCTTAGAGTTATCGTATGTTGCATAGTCAACGATATAAAGTCATGGGATTCTCTTTGACATTGATTCCATCATCTAGTGTCATATCTTTTGATTTCATGAAAAATGAATTACGAGTATAACTATAAGAGTGCACTGACTAGTGCTATATGAATGTGAATGTAATCCCACTTGAAATGTGACCATACATATTTAGGAATTGCAGATTATTTCATAAGATAAGATATGAGACTGAGGTTAATTACTGTCAAAGTGGGACAAACTGACCACATCACTAGCCAATTTACTGACCACTTCCTATGGTCCTGTGCAGAGAAAACGAGAACATAGAATACACCAGCTGTGGTTAAGGATGGTTCATTGTAGAACATGTAATTATCAAAAATTTAAAAAATAAATCTACTTTGTATTATCAGTTTAATTATGAAGTTATGAAAAATAACCAGCTTATGATAGCATGTGTTTTGTCCTTTTT